CCTCAGTGTCGCGCCCATACCAGACCGGGACCGGCAACGGGATCGCAACCCTCGGCGCTGCGCCCATCCCTCACTCAGCCAGTGAGCAGGAACCGGTCTGTATGTGGGATCCGAACCCTCGGTGGGAGCGCCGCCGCGCTTCCCAAGCGGCGCACTGTAGCAGTGCGCCACCGGGCCGGCCCTTTGGTTTTGTTTTTATGGCCCTCTTTGTGTGTTCAACACTGTTATCCTCTCTGCTGTCTGCCCAGAGAAAGGCTGGCTGAGAACTCTGAGGCTTGAACCTCACTGGAGTCATGGACATGCTTTTGGCTCATTGAGCTTTTAAAACCAACAGAGGCTGATGATTGGCATTTTGGAATGCTGTCTATGAGCCCACCACGATGGATGAACTCAAGAGTGCAAATTAACAAATCTACAAGACTATATAGCCAATTTATTACTCAGTGGAATCTCAGCAGTTCATCTCAAGTTTTTGCAGATACTTATTTAAATTTTGCATTGCTTTAAAAATTCACATTAGAAAGGTATATTTTTAAATGTGTCTGACTCATTTAACAGCTGTAATGTAGCATCTGCTTCTGACTGGGGTGGCAGCCAGATCAGAAGTGGTCTCTTGGCCTTCACACCCTGATGGTAATTATTTTTCTTCTCTATGTTCCCTCCTGCTCAGTGAGTGGCTGCCAGAAACAGCATCAGAGATGTGCAGTCAAACCCTCCCTGAATGGGGTTAGCATCACTATACTTCCCTACTGAATTTAAAATGCCCTCCTGCTCAGTGAGTGGCTGCCAGAAACAGCATCAGAGATATGCAGTCAAACCCTCCCTGAATGGGGTTAGCATCACTATACTTCCCTACTGAATTTAAAATGGAAATCATATTACTACCAGCCTCACATGGTTGATATGAAGATTAAACACATGCAAAAACTCTCAGAACAAGTCTGAGGACATAGTCACTCCATAAGTATTAGATGTGCTTATTACTCATGTTTATTTATAAATAAAGACTGACAGGAGTGACAACATGTTGAGGGGTACACTGGTTCTCATTTCCCATATTAACCCCACAGGGGCTCCTAGTGAAGTTGGTGCTCAGTGAAGACAATATTTAATTTCCTTATTTTGATAATAATAGTTATTAAAATGATGATTCTCATGGATACTGGGTTTAGCAGTTTCTATGCCTTATCCTAATGTTTTACCAAATATGCTATACAGAGAAACCCTGGATAAACATTGTTAGTTTTAAGAGAAATTGATTTTAATGTGTATTAGCTTTCAAAAATGTAACCAGCGTATCATTCATGGCTTTTTGGTCATCATTGCTTAGGATGAAGCAGAAATTAAAAACAGCAGCCAGAGCAACAACAAAAAACTGTTGATTAAATTTTAAATATACATGTATATATATTTAAAATAGGTTTATGTGGATATGGCAAAGTTTTTGAAGGAATACAGTTTTATTTCATTTCATCCTCACTTAATCTTGTGAGGCAGGCACCACTATTCTTCCCATTTAACAGATGAAGAAACTGATGTTTAAAAAGGTCATCATTTCCAAAGACTCTGCCAGTGGTAGACTTGAGATTCAAACTAACAATCTTAACTCTTTGTTGTGTTCCCTCTGGGGTGCTTTCTCATCTCCCTCCTCAGGCGTGCTTTTTAAAAACCTTATGTTAACTTGTTGGGTTTTCCTTTGTGTAAAATTAAGATACATGTGTTACAGAAATTTTAGAAAATACAATGAAGCAAAGAGAAGAATTTTTTTATTGTGGTAAGAACACTTCACATGAGATCTACCCTTTTAATAAATTTTTCAGGGTACAATGTAGTACTGTTGACTACAGGCACAGTGTTGTTTGGCAGATCTCCTTTCAGATTGTTTGGCACAGCCCTGGGAGCAGGACAGGCCAAACAAGAAAACTGAGAGAGGTTGGGAAACTGGCTGGAGCCCCACAGAACATATAGGCATACCAGACTCCTGGCTCCCCTTCCTCTAAACCACACTGCATCACACAATGGGCTCTGGCAAACTACCCCTTCCTTTGGAAGAAAAAGTAATGTGCCCCCAGGGAACCATGAGAAGCCACCCTAGTTTAATACTGCCATAAGCTTCTCGCAACTGGGGATTGGGGTCTGGAATCGGTGGCCTGGGCTCTTTTCCCAGGACAGCAGCAGTCCTGGCTCTGAATCTGCACAGGCCTCTTCTGAGCAAAGAGCTCAATAATTCTGTTTACACAAATGCACACACACATACACGTGCCAGCTGATTTAATTAAGCCCCTTCTTAACTCAAATGGTGGATTTGGACAAAGAAGTGAGGCTCTACCAAATCACCAGTTTTTGACTCTTGCTTTTCAACTGCTTGCTTTGGGATTTTTCTGGCTCACAGCTTCCTTCAATAGTAAATCGGAGGGAAGGGAGGTCAGGATGTTAATTAGGCAGCATTGGTAAATTATGTGAGAGCCCAGGAAAAGAGAAGCCATATAAATGGAGGTTTACAATTACTATTACAATACGATTAAAAAAGCCATTCATAGTAATCTGTGATTCTATGACGTTATATCTTAGACTCTACACATTTCAGAAACTGAGCGTTTTTCCCAGTTCTACTTCATAGTCATGTGTCTAGGAACCCACGTGCTTCTCTTTTGCATTATAAAACAGCAACAAGAGACTAAGTTTTGACCTTGGGGCCACAGCTGAGTTGAAAGGTTGAAGGTTTCAGACCTTTCCCACTTCAAGAAAAATATGCTGATCTCAGGTGCTTGCTAAAGATTACTTTCCTTCCAATTATTATTACCAGAAGATATTTCCAAGAAACAGGTAACATGAATAAAAGACATTTCTTCTTAGAGCCTAGTGGTTTAAGAAAAGGATTTGGTGAGGAACCCATATCACTCCTGGTGAATTTTGAAGGTGATCATTATTTTATGCTATGATTTATTGGTTATTAACTCTAATTCCTGTTACTCTTTAGGGCTCCCATCAAATCACAGCGTTTTCTTGGTAAATTATACATAGCAAGAGCTTGTCTGTGGTGATCTGCGTCAGTCACACCAGCACACCTTGCCTTGGGCGGAGGCACTGCCACTTACCTGGCTCTGACTCCGCCCTCACCACGTCCACCGGCCATTGAACTTCAAAGGCACAATAGGAGGCGTTATCTACCCTCCCAGTCTACTGCCCACCAGGGGAGAAGCCAACTGAAAACACACAGGACCTAATCAGACCTTTGATGTTACACAAAGCAAATTGCATTTCAAGCTCTAGAGAACAAATAGCCATTCTAAATCTGATTAAGATTCATCCGGTGCCAAATTGTGATGTTTATTTTGGAAAAGTGGCTGGTCAGTATTTTCTGATTCTGTTTGTTCATCCAGAAAGTCTTTGTTTTCCTTTCTTTAGAGAGGTAGAAGTTAGAGGAAGGTTTGGGTTGTCCTGACTTGTCTGCTGGGCAAAACTGAGGAGTTTGTTTTGGCTGCTTCTTGAATAACTGTACAAGGCACAGGATGGAGAGACTCGTATCCTGGCCACCCTGACTTGGTGTCCTAATGCTCCCCCACTGAGGCCTCACTCCCCTGCCCTCACCTCCATTGCAGAGGGGTGCCCGCCTTTGGGGCTGACTCCAGGTAGGGAGCTAATGAGCCAACTTAAAAGGTGAATGGTCGTAGTGAGAATTCAGACACAGAGCTGGCTAGTGCGGGAGAGGGTTTGGAGCAGGTTTTGTTTTTGTTTTTAGTTTTGTCCAAAATAAAATGCTCCATAAAATTTTGGAGAAGAAAAATTGAATAATTCCTAATTCTACCATGCTTTATAGTTGCCATGTAACTTCTTTCATCTTTTAGTGCATTTATTTGTACACATAAATGTATGCTTTTTATAAATGGAATCATTACTGCATTGTTTTGAAATTTGTGGTTTCCATTTGGCATATTCTGAACATCCCTTTATTTTGATAAGTAGGGTTCTCCATCATTTTTGATGACTGCCGAATAATTTTCTGTCTGGGGATCCTCTCCCCTCTCTTCCTCCTTTATTTTCTCCTCTCTTTTCCCATACT